TTCGCCACAGCATAGCTAACTAAGGGGTTCGCTAATTGGCCCAATTGCGGATTATACCTTTTGCTACAGATTCAAGACAATAATTTAGTTAAATGATGGTTTTTTTTCTTATCTCTTCTAATTAAGATTCCAAAGTGGGAAGAAATAGGATTAGACAGAGTCTCAAAACTGTGTTCCCCTTAAGGTGGTATGCATTTTTGATACATTCACTATGGCATGTGAAATATATAGTAAGTATTAAACCAACTTCTGGAGATTCCCTATGTGACACTACCATAAGTGTATTCATTGGGAATTAAAGTGTTTAAATCATTATTTTTGGGTTAAATCCTATATTAAGTGTTAAAATATGGGTATAGTAAAATAATCAATATATTAAAGTATAAATAGGTAGAAAATTGCATTTCCATTGCTAAAGAATATTATTTTTTGTTTACTTTTGACAAATAATTTCATCCAGATAAACAGGTGCCTATATTCAACTTAGATTTTTTAAATTAACTGTAGTATATCTAAGAATAAAACTGAATTTAAATAGCAACCAATATTTGTGGAGGGCATCATTGCCCCTATGTCCATGATGCTTCAATTCAGTAAGGTCTCCAAGACAGACATTTATTTTTCCACTATTTTATATTGGTGACATAATTGTGAATTGACAAGCAAGTTAACAACTCCTCTCCCTATCTCTAGATTGAGTAAACATATATTTACCTTTCTGCTCTTCATTTAAGAGGAGGAAAGGCTACTGAAAATAAAAGTAGGGAAGAAAGGCTAGGACCAAAGATACCATGCAATACTTCAAACCGCTGAACAAGATCATCATGACTAGTACTTTTTCAGTTTGCAAGAGTATGCTTTTCCAAGAAGTAAAAATTTCAAATACTGTGTTTGAATAAATAGTGTGCTGAATCAAATCAAGTAATACTGTAAGTATTATAAATTTACACTTATGAATCTTACTTGTTTGATCTCAATACTTAATGAAAGTGTTAAGTAAACACATTAAAAAATAGTTACTTAGGAAAAACAATTATTAAGTGAAAAAAAGTTCTTAGTGATTAGAGAAGTACTGAAGTCCTGTATACTGAATTAGGACCAAAGGATCAGAAGATAACCATGAGTAAAATCAATTTACTATGATCTTTTCCACTCTCAATATTCATTTAGTCTATAAGAACCACAGATACACTATGATGATCATTATTTTTGGAGTAAATCCTATATTAAGTATTTTATCCTTATGTTGAAAGTTCATAATAAACGGTGCATGTCTTTTGTGTATTTCAGTGTAATCTAGTTATCATACTTTCTGACTTGAACTTAGAAACACTGAATCTTACAGAGCTGGAAAATCATCCCATTACTAAGGTGTCCCATTATGAAATCCTCTTTGTAATAACTTTATAGATATAATTAATATAATAATGTATTATCATTCTTACAGAAAATTATATTGTAGAATGTGATAAGATATGGTCAATTTTAAAATTTATAATCAAAATAGCATGATACCATCAAATTAAATATAGCCACATTTCAAATCCTACCAAATCTTACTTGTTCATGAATTATAATTATACCAAAATTACTAAAGAAAAAAGTGGCTAATAATAATTCCCACATTATAGTTACAAAAATTATAGAAACTGAAACAACAGAAGTAGTTACTTCAGTATGGAAGTAAAGGTATGTACCCAAGTTCTCAATTTTATACCTAACTAAAAATGCAGTGTATGGGGGTCACTTGAAAAGAAGAATTATATTTGTAGTTCTATTATTTGAACTATTTAGAAAACCTCACTTACAACTTACCCATATTACATATATTTCACCAAAGATTTTTTACCTACTAAATAAGTGACCTCCTTCTTAGTTCTGGGATAGATACACACATGAAAAAGATACATTTTATATATTGAGTCTACCAGTACATCTTAGTAAAGCCTTGTTTGAAATACTTAATGACTACATTAAATATATAAATAAGGCAGGACAATGCCTGATACTCAACAAAGGCTTAATAAAAATTTTCTATGACTGAATGGAGGTTAGGTAAGACTACGTAACCTTGATCTGGGTGAGACCAAGAAATAAACAGTATATTATGGTGGTAACATGTAGAGCTTATAGGAACTAACAGTTTTCAAAGAACTGGAAAGTTTTTTCTTATAACTTGAAGACACAGTTAACTTTCAACTTTGTCTTTTACTTAACTAGAATATATGCAGGGATTTCAAGGTCATTGGTATACATATGATTCTGCTATGGTTTTTATAAGAATGCTAATTTATAGAACTTTATGGCTGTACGTATGAGTAAAAGTGAACTGTGATTAGATAAATATTTCTACTTAAATCTAGACAATACCAACACATACTACAAGAAGGAAGAAATATTTTTTGCTTTCTTCAAAGCACCCACAGAAATTAGACAACACTGAAGTTGCAGTCTATGTTAAAGGCCCTTAATGTTTCCTAAGGGCAGTGGCTTAACAAATTGAAGAAAAGTTAGCCTAAAAATGGAGATGGGCGTGCTTGTCTGTTTCTTTTTGCCCATCATTTTCAAGCAGCCCATTTCTAAGATCAGGACTGAGAGTGAATTCCAACACGTAACAGATCTGTCTGCAAGGAATCAGAAAAGTTATTTCTGCTTTACCTGCCAAATCATCATTTCCCTCTGAAAATAACTCAGATTCAATAATGTACTATAGATTAGTACAATACAATATCAGGCCATTAAAAAAATTGATTAGTTGAACCTAAAACATGGGCACTTGATAGATGATTTTTTTTCCCACCAAAGGAATCCTTGAAGTAATTATTTTCTGGTCATTTCCACTCTTGTTTCTAGTCCATAATATATCACCAAAGACTTTCTATCTATTTGAATATGCATTTTATAATGCACAATGGTATATTTAAAAAAATCACCTATGGTGAACCTCATGATTTTATAATGTTCTAATTATATCCATATGACTTCTGTTAGGTTTGATTCCTTAATTTATTTTTTTCTGATCACCATATTGGATATTATGGCATAAATCAGAGAGTTATTTAGAATGCGTTTTGCCTATATGTCTTCAAAAATGAAAGAAAAATCTTACTAATTAGGTTAAGCCAAAAAAGTATAAGATTTGATCAACTATTCTGAATATTAGTTTTTGGAAAAAAAAACCCATCTATTTATGATTTGTTTTCAAATACTGCTTCTAACCTACAGGGTAACCAATTATAACAGTTCTCTTACATTAGCATATTGGGAAGAAGAGAGAATGGTACAGAAATCTGTGTAGTTAATAAAACAACTCCAATGGTAAAGTGTAGTCACTATTAGAGTCTAAAGTTATTCAAAGGAGAGGTCCTGCTTATGTAAGTACTTTATTTCTTCCCTCCCTTCACCTCTAGCAAGCCCCAAAGAGAGAAAGAGAGAGAGAGAGAGAGAGAGAGAGAATAAACACATTCACACTACATTCTTCTCTGGGTACAATTTTTTTTCTCCATTGGGAACTGCCTTGCTAAATTTGAAAATAAAAATGATACTTTAGACCTTATTGTCATAATACTGATTTTGGAGAAAAAGCATCACATGGAGAAAGAAACTTTCATTTTCATTAAAAATATACATTCCAGGTAAAGGGAAATGATATGCATGCCTTCCTTGTTACACTACACTGCAACTCTGTCCCTCTAAAAGTTTTAAGTAATATGATGAGAAATTAGTCAGTGTTTTGTCAGAAAAACTGAAATAATGCTTTAAACAATTACAGTGTTGGGTTCCATTTCAGTGGTTTCCTTTGAGAACTAAAGCAAATTAGCTCCAGAATCACTATTTCTACACTCTCACTCTTTTGGCTTTCGATGGCTTTTGAAGGGAGTATCCCCAGATGAGAAACTTCTAAGACTCCTGCAGAGATGACCTGCTTGAAGAACTGGCTGCCTGATTAACTATTAACTGCTCTCAATAGGATTAGATAATTAAGGACATTGATGACCATTAATTAGGAGGAGGGCACATTAATTTGTCACTGGATAGGGCCCTTACAATGATTTATAGGTTAGTGCTACTTGCAAATGTGAAGAGAAAGAGAAAAAGAGAGAGAACCATTAAGTTACCTTATCAAGTGGCCAGCTTAAAGAGGGCAGAGGGTCAAAAAAGGGCCAAAGTGGTCACTTAAGGGTGAAGTCCCAAACACCAAAGCAGTGCCAAGCCACATTGACCATCATTTGGTGATGAAGTTAAAAATATGCTAATTTATTGGTGGCAATTCTCTCTTTTTATGGTTTCAAGCAGTTAAGACAAGTGGCCTGCTTAAGAGCTTTTCATTTGAAAAGAGATTAAACAAAATGGTTTGTCAAGGCTGCTTGGCTGTTTTATGTCTTTGTTAAAAAAAAAAATTGCACCGGCTATACTGATAACTATCACATCACCCAAAAGCCATCTCTCTCTCTAAGCATTTACTTCGTTAATAAATACGTCAACTCTAATTGCTTAATAGTTCTATGTTCATTTGCTCTTTAGCAAGATTAAGTTGGAATAAATCTTTTGTACTAATATTTTCTGTCATCATTGCTTGCATAAAGGTCACAAGCAAAGTTTAAGTGTTGTAAAAAATTTACTTAAAGACACTAGTGTGAATTATTCTTTGTTTAATTCAGCACATAAAGTGAAAGGTAATTTCACTAATAGTAAAGAAAAATGCTTTAGAATGTAGATAAAAAATCCTCTTAGCCATACACAATTGTGGGTAGCACTCACATTCCACACACAAGTAAGCACAGCTCATTAACATTTAATTAAATATGCTTCTGAAAGCCTTGGAAATATGCATGTCATATTTATCATGTAAGTTAGGCGCATACTTTTCATAGACATTTAAAACAAAATCCTTTTTTGCTAGCAAGAAACATGTCATAAGTATCTCACTGAAGTTTTAAAAAAAAAAGAGGGGGAGATACCATTTACCTCAATACTATAAAACACAGAAATTCTCTTACCTCAATGGTGAATAGCTTCCTTTTTAATTTAAAAGCTAAGTCTTTGACATCTGATTCATCACAAATCAAGTTATTAAGCCGAGGGATCTGCCGTATATGGATCAAACCTTGTGAAAAGGAAATTAAAAGGAAAAAAACCTGAAAAACGCTGTCACCAGATGCATAAATTAAAGAGTCTTACAGCAGAATCCTGTAAATTTACACACAAGCATCCTCCCCTTTTAAAACTGGAGCTTACTACCAGGAGCAATGAAGCAAATGGTGTGATTATACTCAAGTAATCAAGCAGAATAAGATAAACAGAAATCCTTGTGCGAGGAAAACTAATTGCACTTTGGTAGAGAAGTACAGATGTAAAGAGGGATCTTAATACTTGTCAAAACTACAGCCGGTTTGTGTGTGATTTTCTCTTGTATTTACAGTAAGCAAATATGGCTATCACCTTGCATGCTGCCCACGGCACCACTGAGTGATCTTTATTTTATTAAATGCACCAGTAAGCAGCCAGCAAAACAAGGCTTATGGGTTACTGACAATGAAGCACTAATGAAAAGTATTTCATTTTGTGCCTTATTAATGACTTGAACAAACCATTGCAGGAAACTACATTTCAGAGCACACTCAAGGATCAAACATGAGCCCCTATGCCATCCCGAGACACTTACTTCTGTGGCACGGTAGACCTTCATGTAGCTGTTCTAAGCTTTAGAGCAGTGCTACGTAAACCGTGAGCTTTGGCCTCTTGTCAGTAGAAACACTTGCTAATGTTTTCTGACAAGGGCACTGGGTGGCTTTTGTGCAGCCTAATGTACTTTCTGACTAAACTAGGGGTCATTTCCCACAGATGAAGACACGGACAGTTCTTCAGTGCATCTTTATGCCTGACTCAGCTCATGTTTAAAATCATCATCCCAAAGACACTGATTCCTAAACATGGGTGGGAAAGGCAAATTCTAGATTTGAACACACAGATACAGCTTATTTATGTGTATAGAACTGCTTCTTTAGTACAAGGTTTTATGTGTGGGTTTGAATGTTTAGTAATGTATTAGTTTTAGCTGCCAAGGATAAAACCTCCAGTTACTTTCAAAACAACTCCTTCAATAATAATTTACTAAAATATCTACTTGATTTTTTTCTACTTAATAAAAGCAAAGGTGTTATTAAAAAGTAAGCTTTTAGTTACAAATTTAAAAATCTCACACACAGCTATTTAGTCAAATGTACTTACCAGATATAAGCACACTGTATTTTTAGTTGTACTTTTCTCATTTTAATCTTACATATGCTTATATAGCTAATAAATCAGCAGGTTTTAGAGAATGAAAGAATGCTTTTGTCATCAGGGCCTTCTTATTAACAGAAAGTTTATACAGCTCAGAACTACTCAGTATTCTGTGGTGAATAATCTATAAATTCACAGATTTCAGTACAAATAATCATAGGCTTTTAACCTCTGAAATGTTTCAATCAAAGTAATTATATTTTTGAATTCAAAATATACTTTTACTAAATTTATAAACTCATAATACTTATAAATGATACTCAGTGTAGATAATTTACTATGGTAACATCTGACTTTCTAAAAGAAAATGGAAATAATAAATTACATGAATAGTTAACACTTTTTTTGGTAGACTCTAATATGAAAACCAAAAAGAACCTGCCAGGGTCTCATAAAATCAGTCTCAAAGTCTAGAAAGGACTTCTAATAAGCTAATCAGTCTTAAACCAAAGTCTCCAATAGAAGTATTACATTTTACAATAATTATATCCTTAATATATACTCAGACTATGTAAATCGGTAAAAAGTTATTACTCACTACTGTAAGGGTTGAATATCCCTTATCTGAAATCCTTGGTTGGGACCAGAGGTATTTAAGATTTTGGAGTTTTTCGCATTTTGGAATATTTGCATTGAATTTACTGGCTAAGCATCTCTAAAAGAATCCAAAAATCCACTCCAAAATTTCGGATTGGAGATATTTCAGATCTTGGATTTCTAGATTAAAGGTGCTCAACATGTATTATTTGAATTAACATTATATTTATTTCAAACATGACTAAAAAGCGTGACTACCAAATTTAAGCCACTAGGAAAACAAGATGTATACCTAAGCCCATGCTTATTTGGGTTTGACTCTTTTCAAGCAATTATCATAGTCTGTAGTCTTCATGTAGTTTGGTAATAAAATACTATGGAAGACTGACAAAAAATGGAAAACATCTAATAGGTATGTAATAAAATTCATGCTACTGGACAGTAGATATTTTTATTGGACAGGATACTTCCAGGTACCCTAGAAGCAGCCAGAAATGTTCTTATTATAAGAATGCTGCTTACCATGGTAATCCTTATACAATGGGTTGGTTTCTCTCTCAGAACCAACAAATGATTCCAGAGCAACAACTGTATCTGACAAGTTTGTAACACGAGCAATAATAGCTTTATTCTGTAAAAGACAGAAACAAAACATTCATGTTATGGTTAAAAGTGACATACATCACTATAGTGCCACTAAGCCACCTCAACTTAAAAATTAAAGCTACTCCAGGCTGATAACTAGATGAAATATGCCTCAATTGAAAAGTCCAACCCATGTAGCTATGCTACTCTAATCTAAAAAGCTGAGGGAAAAGTAAAAATTGGTAGAAAACATAAATCAGTTATTTTTCACTTATCTTAGGGGCAAGGCTACTTTTATTCTTAAACAGCACTTTTTTTTCCAAACTACTTCACTCATTACACACTGGAAAATCTGGCAGACAGCAGGATTCAGAAGCAGTAGATACCCCAGTATCATAAGGCAAAGGTCCCAGTTTGTACTAGGTTTCAGCCCTATAACAGCTGAAGTCCTCTGTGACATATTAGAAACATAGAAGGATGCAGCTAAGAGGCTGCAACATGCCTAGCTCTGGAGTCTTCTGCGTTCTTTCCAGATGCTGCCATTTGGCTTTGGAATAACAACAAAGGCAAAGAAGATTGGTAGACGAGTACTGCTTATACCAGTAGCCTACTTTTTCTTTCCCAACAAACCCAAGATGAACAGAAAAACAATCCATCTTAAGAAATGTCACATTTTTCCAGATTAAAACAGTGCATTAATATGTTTCCAAGTATAGTATGCCCAGCTACTAAGTATCAAAGGTTCTAACATACCCAGAAATTCATGGCTATAAAAAATATAATCATCAAATACCAAGTAGGCTCTTTGCCTTATTTTTTTTTAATGGAAATTCAGTATCCCTTTTAGTCTCTGATAGTGTGGTAGGTCAGAAAACTGACTATGTGCTACATCAAATTATTTTTTGTACTGAAGATCTAAATAAGTTGAAACACTGTTGTTTATGAAATTTTATAGTTTTGAAACTCTCATTTTATTTTCTAGTAATGCCCATTACTTTGAAACTAATCTTTGAAGTAAAGTGTGGGAAATGGGAAATATAAAACAGTCAAGAAAATTTATCAATGTGATGCTATGTCCCCTGTTAGAAGAGAGACCACTTATAATCAAAGATTTTCATTTTCTTAAAATAGGATTGACCACTGAGCTCATTGTTATTCTATTTCTTAAGTCTCTTTTTAAGAATAAGGATAAAAAGGAAAGAGAGCTAGTCAGTGTTACCTGACTTGGTATGAAATGCATAGTAGACTGTGTTACCAAATACTCTGCTGAAATGATTGGTAAACTCACACCTATGGTGGTATTTGAAACTCTTCCATAAGTAGGAATGTGTGCTAAATAAAGAATGCTTCTCTCTTTGAATCAGTGCTCTCAAAGGAACCAGTAACAATAAATGTTCTTAGCTGTTTTTCATACTTTCAATCACGTGGGCAAATGAGGTACAGAAAAACAAACATAACTTGGAAATGCCTGTTTTCTTCCAAGGTTATTTTTCATTCAATGGTGAGAAAATAATCCAGATTGATTCCTTACTTTCAGTTCTGTGCCACAAGGGATGGTTCTACTCCAGAAATAACAGGGGCTTCAGAGGCCATAAGCATGTTCCTCTCAATATTTCTTTAGCCAGAGACCATTATATCAAACTCATCCAGGTTGGGTTTCAGCCAGTTATTCTTCACCCAAACAAAAATGTCTGCCAGACATTCCAACAGCTGGGAGACAGTTCACAATGAGTCAACTTGAAAATGATTCATTGTGCTGAGTACTGAACAATGTTGGGATGGGGGCGGGGTGTGGCTGGGTTGGTAGTAAAGGGTGAGAACAAGTGGGAGATGAAGAATAACCATGTGGTTCCCCCATTAAGAAGAATCTTGGATAAAAACCAGCAGGCTGTTATCATTTCATTTTTAGGATAAACTCAACTGGGAAGAGTTCTCCTGTCATGGACCCTCAGATGAACAAGCACTTATAATGGCTACAGACAATATTTCTTTATCAAAAAGGTCAGATTTACTTTTATCTATAAATAACAGACTAAGTCTCTGTATCTAAATATCTGAAATGATAAAAATTTTTGTTATAACTCAGCTATGTAAGATTTCAGTGATACCAAGTAGTTCTTTCTCAATTGCATGACTAAGAGAAATTACAATGTTTAAAAATGGGATTCATTTCCAGTCTAGTAGTATATAAACTAGATATTGTGCATTTAAATAGTCAACCTGACATTTATTTCAAAGAAGGTTTTATTTATTCATTTAACCTTAAGATTTGTTAATAAGCCATTTAAGTTCCTATAATATTTACTAACTTTAAATCCTTTGAAGATAGTTTATGGGAGATAAAAAATTATTATCTACTTGGAAGAGGAAAATGAATGAATTCCAAACGTAAGAGGTATGTGAAGCCTTGATCTCAAAATTTCTCAGAAACTCATTCAGATAATTTATTATATTCTAAGTTCTATAGGCTTATATCATTATTTAACTACAAAATAAATTCTATTTTAAAAGCTTTCATAAAGTATTAGAACAATAACGTTTATTCACACTATTATAATAAAATAAGTTATATTTTAATGGTGACTGTACTGTATTCTGCACAGCTTTTTGCAAAGTAGTTTATAGGATGTGGTAAGCCTGATTAATTGAGAAATTATACAGATATCTGAAAACACCTATAGAATAAAAAAACACAAAAAATATATAAGAATAACATCTAAGTTTTTGACTAATTCTTTATTTTGATTAAAACTTATTCAGTCTTCTAGTTATTTATAGGAGCATAAATGATATTAGGTTTGTTAATGTATACAAGTTAAAGGTGTTAGTGATTACATCAGTATCTCCAAGATTCATAAGGAATGTGGCCTATTGATGTAATCCTACTTTAAAGCCATTCCTGTCAAAGGTCTTAACAAATCATGATAGTAATACAAGGAGGCCTGTTAGATAAAGGTAGCTGAATTTATTTTCAAGAATCTAAAATTAACAGCTGAAAAAACTTCTTAAAAGCATAAATAATCACAATTCATTTCAGTAAGAATACACTATGGCTAATAAATTGTCACAGTGTAACCAGTAGTGTTCAGTATGCTTTAGCATAATGATCTGAGCAGAGGCCCTGAAACAGGAACTCCTATATTCTCGTCCTAACAGTTTGTGTTTTTATGTTACTAACAAAGATGGGGAACCTATCTGATCTTCAGGCTACAACAGGCATTGTAGAAGTAAAGGCATTTGTGCATCAATTACTTAAGTATAAATTTGAACATAATTCTTGTGTTAAAGTTGTTATATTACAGTTTCCAATAGGGAACATTTGAGTAAGGACATTCAGAATTCACCAGTATAAGAAAATTAATGGTTATAGTGCATGTGTGGCATAATGACATCACCCAAGAATGCACAATGATACTGCCGCCCCTCCTCCTTGCCCATCTGGATATGAAAATCCAGGATGGCTCAAAAATCCTTCTTATACTAGACAAATCTCCCTTCGCTCCTGGGTGAAAGTTGTCAGCTCTGGATAAGAGCCAAGACATAACTAGGAGGGAAGCCAGAAGGGAAGAGAGCCAGTGTCCAGGAGTTTTAAGAGTTTGCTGGCAGTCTCAAACAGCATTGTAATAAGTTACATAAAGGGCTCTTAAAATGTTCTGTTGTAGCATAATTTCTTATTACTTAAATTTAAAACATGTCAATGCTGTTGTAAAAAAAACAAGGCAAATCAGATTATCCAGTCTCCTACCTTCCTATTCCAATTTTAGTTTCACAAAAAACTTCAGAGTTTTTGTTTGTTCCCTGTTTGGTTACATAAAATGTTTCCTGTTTGCTTTTACAGAATGGTAACACATTTTTATTAGGATACTCCAAATCCATTAAATGGATTTTAAATGGAAAAAGATTAATTCAATGCTCCCTTTCAATTCAAAGCTCATAAAGTCAAACTATGAATTTGTTAAGAGATAAAAATTTAACTGCTACCACATAAAGCTCTCACAATTTTCTAATAAAAATACTTCAGAAACCTAGTTAGAGTTACCAAGTAACAATTAGAATACCTCAAACCCTGAATATTTCCTTATTTTCTTGTACCTAATTATCTCAACAATATAACAAAACAAAATGTGTTTCCAGGAAAGATTTTTTTTAACAAGAGTATTTAAGAAGTAGTCAACCCATAATTTAATTATCAAGAAACTTGAATAGAATAAAGCAATTGACATAAAGCATTTATGTAATGTCTCACATAGGAGTAAGTGCTTGGGTTACTCAATTCACATCCTTTAGGCAGGACAGCAAATACAGTATGAAAGGAACCTCTTCCATTTGACTATGGCACAAGCATTTGGATTTGGGACTACAATAATATGAAAGTACTATTAATGTAATGTTAAAGAGTTAAAGAAATATTTAAGTTACTTTTTGCTTGACTCTAGTATATGACATGATGTATGTGTGGGGATGGGCAGAGGACATCACAAGAGAAGCAAATATAATAGATGCACCAACTCAATTTGTAACATTTTATGAAAAATTATACTCATAGAAGTATAAACTATAATAGAACTAATGACATTTCTTTGTCATATAATCAGAACAATGAGCTTGGATCAAGGGATACATTTAGGAATATTTGATGAAGTATTGGGTTTTCCAAGCATAAGTTCTCCATTTCATAAAAATTAAAACTGTAAAATAAAATTTAGTTATACTGCTTATAATTTTGTTCTAACATGCCACATCTTCTCTAGAGTTGTTGCTCTGTTCTGTAGATGAGGTTTTATTATATTAAAAATGTCTGATGGTGGGAAGATAATTGCATTCATAATCATTTTGTATTTAGAAAGAATACAATGTTATCAAAAATTGCATTAATTCACATTTGCAATATGTTAATGGTGGTATTGGATTAAATATTTTTCATATTTAACATTGAGCTTTATTCAAAGTTGATTTTAGAATACAGAGGGGCTTTTGTTAAGTTAAATTCTCAATGTAATATTCTGATAGCTTCCTATACTAATATTCATGTAGTGAAAAACACAA